GGAGAGAGTCATTCGAGTCTACCAACTCGGTCAATGAAAAATACAAAATGTTTCTTAGTATATTACTTCATGCCATAGATATGTTTGTTCCTGTTGAGCGATTTTGGCTTCCAAAATCTACCTCCCTGTATATCTTCAGAATATGCTTGATCATAGAAGTTGCTTGTTGCATGCGGCCAAGAGGTCACTCGGCCAACGACTGGTACAAATTTCACCGGTTCTCCCGTAAATTTGATCATCTGCTTCACCAATACAACAAGCATCTGGAAAAAAGATTCTTGAAAGCGGAGACAAAAACGGATTTATCAGACTATTGAACAAAAAACTCAAATCTGCTCACAGAATCTCCTTCCTGGAAAAAGCTGGGGAGGTTGTAGTCTTGGATGTGGATAAGGTCAACCTCCTAGCAGACAAGTTCGGTGAGGTGTTTCTGAGTGGATGGTTCTTTACCAGCTTTCGGCCCCTCAGTTTCTAGTCCAATGACTGCCTTTCCGTGGTTCGGCAGTGTTACAGTCCATGGTCTGTTGAAGCAACTGCCTAATTCTTTCTCATTGACTCCGGATTTGATTCTTGCTATGTTTGTCAGGAATCTAGCTCACATTCTAGCGAACCTGTAGCTTATCTCTTTAACCAGTCTCTGTTATGGGATAGTCCCTTCGAGGTGGAAGCACTCCTTTGTAACACCGTTACTGAAAAAGAACCATCACACTTGGTTAACAATTACAGACCTGTCAGTATCACATCTTTTTTCCGTCGTATATTCGAAAAAATTCTTAAAGAGCATATTATGAAGCATCTTGATACAAATGGAGTTATCCCCGCAAATCAGCACGGGTTTGTCAAAGGTAGGTCCACCGAAACTAATCTCTTAGAATGTTTAAACGATTGGACTACTTATCTTTATAACAAGAAAGCTTGTGACGTGGTCTACTTCGATTTCTCCAATGCTTTCGATAAGGTTGAGCATTCTAAGCTACTGCTGAAGGTGCGGCGATTTAAGTTTCACTCAGCGGTATGCTTGTGGACAGAAAACTATTTGTTTCAGCGGACGTTTCAGGTTAGAATTAGGTCGGTATTCTCAAAGATAAAGGAGGTCAGAAGTGGAGTTCCGCGAGGAATTGTTATATCGCCATTCTTTTCGCTATTTACACTGCTGAGCTGCCGGAGCTGCTAGAGGGATGTGGGGTGGTATGCAAGCAGTTTGCGGGCGTGGAGAGCATCCTTACTACTATATATAAACGGCAAATGTCCGTTTGTCTGTTTGTCTATCTGTTTGTCTGTAACAATATCTTATAAGGTGCCGTTTGGAAATCAATTGAAACAGCTCAGACAGATTGGAACAAGTGGGAAATGAGGTTGGAATAAGAAGGGAATGAGCCGGGCTCTTTAGGTACACGTGACCTAAGCTAGGCTCCCACTAGGGGCGGGGCTTGCGCGAATAGTGTAGCTCACTGGAATTCTGTAACTCCTTTGCTCCTGAGCCTAGACTATTCAAATTTGGCAGAGATGTAGGCGGCAAGATGGGAAAACTAATGGTAGGTGAAAGGTGTAGACTCCGCCCACTGGGGGTGGGGCTTCCTCGAAAATAGTCAATTTGGACCTGGGTGGTTCAAATTTGGCAGAGATGTAGGCGGCAAGATGGGAAATCTAATGGTATGTGACTCCACCCACCGGCGGCGGAGTTTGCGTGAAAATACCAAATATGGACCTGCCTGTCAGGACGTAAATTTCATCAAACAATGTATTGGCCAGCGAGATCGTCGATGCGTAGGCTATCAAATGCCTACGGCGACGGGTGCAGATAAATGTCAGAGTGTAAACAAATTTCATTCTCATCTCCAATGAAATGAAGGCATTCCACAATGATTAGGGATAAATTTCATTCTCATCTCCAATGAAATGAAGGCATTCCACAATGGTTAGGGATAAACAAGAAACTGATGATTTCAAGGTCCTTCCCATGGCTTCTTGGAATGTCTCAGTATATTTATGAACGAATGTTAATGATTGCCAATTGACGCTATTATTTTGGGTTGAAGAACGGTACTGTCCATTTCTTGGAAGAGGGTGGTTACTGTGTTGCTAAGACGACTTGCTCGAAGTTATCTTCACGGAAATTCATTTATCGCAAGCCGTGAGACGCGCACGGTATCGTGCGCAGGCCAACTGGTTGAAGACATAAGCAGTATTTAATGTTCTTTAGATTCCTTCCTGAAGTGGTCTTAGTTATGGTGCTTTTCGCTGGCTCCTGAAAAGAGTGTTCATGAGGACTGGTGGCTCTACATTTCCGAGAGCCTACAAACTCCGTGAGCATTGTCTGAATGAGTTCTCCGCTGTCAGGGATCTTCGCTTCCATTATAATAACAAGCTCAGTTTTTCTGACAATTCTTAGGCTATCGTCAGGAAATTTACTTTTTGAACCTATCAAATTTTTAAAGGTTTGGCAGTAAAGGATGAAAAGTCTCAATTAAGGCGTATAAGACGTATGTGCGGCCCATTGTGGAAAATGCTACATCGGTTTTTTGTCCTTGGAAGAAAACGTGGATTTACTGGAAAAAATTCTGGATAATTATACCCGGAAGTTATGCATCAGGGCAGGGCAGGCCGTTTGGATGTGCCTCACCCAGCCTCTAGGAACCACAAGTTTAAGCTTCATAATCTAAAATCACGAAGGAAGGTATATGTATGGTATTTAAGTTATTGACTGGGATTGCTAGAGCTGATGAGTTGAGGGTCTTCACTAGAAATGTTTCGAGGACCAGAGGCAGCTCCGTGAAAATTTCATACGCTACGCCTCGAACCAACTTGTAGCTCCACAGTTTTAACTGTGGAGCAGGCTCTATATCATATCTTTGAAATCGCAAGTAGTACTTCTCTACCCTGCATATATGCACTTTAAGCGACCTGTAAAGAAAGAATTGCTGAGTTTCATATAGTTGTATGAGGTTTTATGGCGTGTTGTTGTTCACTTCTCACGCACCTTATGTAGTGTATAAACAAATGAACAAGTAAAAAAATGAAGGGAGTCGTGTTGACCTGATCCAGAAATTTGATCCGAAGAAGCCATACGTCAAGCACTTCTTGTTGCATGTCATAAACGTTGGTTACTTTGTTATGGAAGGCAAATGACAGAAAAAATCGAAATCACCTTTGAAGTGATTCTAATTGGACGCCGTCAGAGCTTTTTCAGTCTGAGTCCAGTCGGAAAAACCTGGGCTAAAATCGGCTGTCATAACCGAGTTACCTAACGCTTGCCATTTACCAGTTGGACCGCCCTGTTAGGCTCTCCTCCTTTACGCGTTGAAGTGGACTGTCGCCGTACCCCTTTTAAATTTGAACGCTCCTGTCCAAGATTAAAGAGTTGTGAATATTGGTCAGTCTTGCTTGAGTCATTTGCCTTCAGAAACTTAGTTCATTCTTTACTACAACTTATTTGCATTATTTGTACTGTGTATGCTCATTCAAACTACGCTCATTTCGCGCACGCTCTCCTTCTCTGTTGGAAGGCGGAGTGGAGTTTAGGCGCCTACTACCAATGTTCACACCCCGTTGTCTTTACCCTTACCAAATTAAAGCGCACTAGGTCTAATCAGGAAGGCATTCAACGTCCCAGTCATTTAGCGGAATTTTGGATTATTAAAATAAAATATTTCTTTCTAGATTTGGTCGCTGGACCGCTCTGATGCTTTCAGGGCATACCGCGCGATATATTCATTTGAGCAGAATCATTAGTGGTTGATCATAGCCCCAACCACCTCATTGTAGACACCTCCCGCTGTGGAAGTTTGGTCCGCGTTGTAGAACGTTTTTCAACAGAGTTATGAATCTTTCATCTTAGCTCCTCCCACCTTGTGGCAAACCCCGAACGCTGTCGAACCCCTTCAGAGGTTCGACAACACTTCTTACCTCTGGCTACTTTTCTCCGCATTCTGGAACGTTTGTGAACAGAATCACACATGTTTTGGAAAAGAGCCAAAAAAGAGTCGGACGCGCGCCCCGCCCATTAGGGGCGGAGTTCGCCAAATTTATGCATGCACAGCACGCATAAGGCCTTGCTCAGTGCTTTTTTTCGTGGCCTCCACCCCTTCGTTGAACCGAGTTATGAACTTATGTGGAAAGTACAGCCCCATGCGAGAAAGCCCAACCCACTGCTGGTGAGTCTCCTTCATTTGAGTTGCAGGCCCAGCCCTCACCTTCGCTCATCTTTTACCGGCGTCTAGGCTGTTATGGAATCTGAGGATGTTTTGCCAATGACACCGCTCACTCGTTTGCATGTCCCGCATTCTGTGGGTGGGTGGGGCTCCGCTGAACTCTCATGGACCCATTTGTTCTTGCCCTATGCTCGACCCATCCCAACTTGACCCGGCTTGTGTGCCCCTTCAGATAATATCGAATTTCCTCACAAACAAACAAGCACACAGACGCGAGCGCGTTATATATANTATATATAGTAAGGATATGTAGATAAGGCGAAGCTTTGGCGGAAGGAATCTGGTTCCAGAGGAAATAGCGAGATCTATTCATCGAGCAGTTCGAATAGTTGAAGCCGACCTTGGAGTGTGGAACCACAAAAAAAAAGGGGCAATAAAAATAATGGGCAAATATAAGGTTGGCGAGAAAGTTCTGCGACAAAAAAATTCAAAGCATTAAAAAGTTGCACAAATAATGTGAACGCGGTAGCGGGGATGATACAACTTTAGGACATTTCTGCAAATGAAAATTTTCCACGCAATTTTTCTCAATATTTTGCAATTTCCCACGCAATCAAAACATGAATGAACAAGAGCACACAAGTAAGTCTCCGCAGCATTATCGCCGGGGAATGGACGATTGTAGCGGCTTAAATTATGAGCGACCTATTAGATACTCAATGTTCATCGACCAACGGTCAACAAACGGTTGGATTGCTTCTCTTTTTGCGCAGATTAGATAGAGCTGTCCCTAAACCCTATAGACCCTAGTATTTGGCCAACGCGTCAAGATTAAGACGTCCAAAACTATATTTCTCGTCTCTACAGAAGGACAGCGCCCGTCGAAATTTCGCTTTAGACACCTTTGAAATTTCATCGGACTCGCTTCGTTCCAGGTTGTTCATCAGTCGCACACCCGAATAGTTGTACTTTTTCATGATCGTTTGCTCAGCCTTCACAAGCGTCTCTTCATAAAAAAGTTCGTAAACTAACGTGATCTAAACGGCAATCAGTGATTTCTTTGAACCGCAACTTCTTGAGTGTTGGACGAAAGGCATCAGTGATTTGCTCAACGTAATCTGAAAACGGCAGTCGATGATTTCTTTGAACCGCAGCTCCTTGAGTGTTGGTCGAAAGGTATCAGTGATTTTCTCAGAGGCTAGGAGAAGGTTGTTGATCTCTTTCGTGAATACATTTCTAAAATATGATTGATCTGGAAAATTTTAGAAGTGAAATCAAAATGGCTTCCATTCTGCGCAGGACTTTCTTGCCAACGTAACGTAAGCATAGCAAGCTGCAATGGTTTCAAAAAAATAAGTGGTTCCTTTAACAGGGAACTTTTATTCAAAGGCACAGATCATGATAATTTTGGGTAGTTCAGATCATGGCAAAAATTGGAAGATAAGATGGACAACAGTGCGATGAAGGCAGCTGCGTGAATCGGTGTTCACAAAACGAAAAAGGCTTCAAAAATTCGTTAAAAAAGAGGCTGGGCGAGAATGAGACCAGGAGAATCAAGAAAAATGGGGCATTTGCACGAGCTATACAATGTGTCTCACTGCTACGTATGGACTGGTGCGAATAGCTGACTACGGTAAGCAAAAATTTGTTCTCTCACAGGCATAAGTTAACAAAAACCATAGTCACAGCAAAAATAGCCCACCTTTTTCAGTCTTTCAAGGTAGAAAATTAGAATAAGGATCGCAGCTGCAAGAAGAATAATAGAGTGTAGAAGAATGGGAGAAAAATATCGCCTCTTCACTCGGCGATCAGCTGATTGTGTGTCGGTCCTAGGATGGATATTGTAATCTGTATCGCCTCGTCTGACGTGACATCGATCGAGGGGCGGGAAGTCCGGGCGACCCTGTAACGGGGTTCGCATCATGCCTTAGCTGTTGAGACTTGGGATTCGACAGCGTCTTTCCTGTTGCCCTGGAGGGCTGCTGGGTATTCCTAGGGAGAGAACTCAGAAACCATTTTTATG